AGACAAGTTTTTCCAAAATAATTATGTATGTAAAAATGATATCAGTGCTGAACAATCTAGTAAATATTTTGATAATAGCGAAAATTTTGTATGTAAAAATGATCTTAGTTACTAAAAATTGTGGTAATTATTTTGAAAATAGTAAAAATTCTGATAGTAAATTACAGAAATTGTTGAATGATTATAACCATATATTTGCAAAAAGTAAATATGATGTTGGTTGTATAAGGGTTGAACCTCCCAGAGTTATATTAACTTCTGAATTACCAATAGCCTATAGACCATATAGAGCATCTCCTAAAGATAATAGTGAAATTAAAAAACAAATAGATGAATTGTTAAAAGCTGGAATTATTAAACCTTCTTATAGTCCTTATGCTGCTCCTGTAACTTTAGCTTATAAGCGAGACGAGCAGTCCAGAAGCAGATTGTGTATTGATTTCAGGAAGCTTAACCAAATTACTAAAAACTGATTCTGAACCTATTCCTAGAATTGATGCTGTATTAGATCAATTAACAAATGCAAAAATCTTTTCTACATTGGATTTGGCATCAGGCTATTGGCATATAAAATTAAATGAAAAGGATACTGAAAAATTGGCATTCACTACAAATTTTGGACTGTATGAGTTTACTAGATTACCTTTTGGTTGGAAAAATTCCCCAGCTTTTCCAACGAGCTCTTAGACAAATTTTAAACAAATATCAGATTCAATTTGCTTTAAATTATTTTGATGATATTATAGTATTCTCTCCAAATTTTGATGAACATTTAAATCATCTTAAAATAATATTTGATATATGTGAGAAAGAGAATATAAAATTAAAACAATCTAAATGTAATTTTGCTAAAGAAAAAATAAATTTTCTAGGATATGAAATTCAAGCAGGTAAATACCAGCCCAGTAATGCAAATATAGAGGTTATTAAGAAATTGCAACCCCCTAAAAATATCAAAGAATTACAAAGATATTTAGGAAGTATTAATGTTTATCATAAATTTATTCAAAATTATGCTAAAATTAGAGCCCCATTAACAAAGTTACTTAAGAAAGATACTCCTTATAATTGGACTGATGAATGTCAAAAGCTTTTCAAAAATTAAAAGATGCATTGATTTCTAGACCTATTTTAACTTTGTTTAATCCTAAATATCCCTGTCATGTATTTGTTGATGCGTCCAAAGAAGCTGTTGGTGCTGTTTTAAAACAAGAACATCCTGATGGTAGTTTACATCCAATTGCTTTTCATTCTAGAAAATTAAGATCTTATGAACAAAATTATGCCATTACTGAGCTGGAATGTTTATCTATTATTGATGCAATTGATAAATTTTATTATTATTTACATGGTAACCATTTTACTGTACATACTGATCATGCTGCTTTAGTTTGGCTTAAAAATATAAAACACCCTACTGGTCGTCTATTTAGGTGGTCTTTAAAATTATCTATGTATGATTTTGATATAAAATATAAAAAAGGATCTACTAATGTTGAAGCTGACATGCTCTCTAGAAATCCTATGTGTCAACATTTAAGATTGCAAGTTAATTTATTATCATTAGAAGAAATAAAAGAATATCAAAATTTAGATAATGTTTGTAATACTAAGTATAGGAAAATGAATGATGTCTTAACTATTAAAAAACAGGGATTGTACAAAATTGTGATACCCATGTCTCTACGTACGAAATTACTTGAAAAGGCCCATATACAATTTGGTCATATTGGTGTATCATCTATGCTAAATTTGTTATCTCCACAATATTATTGGCCAGGAATTGTTCAAGATGTTAGAAATTATTGTAAACATTGTGAAGTATGTCAGTTTAATAAGAAAAGTAAACAAAAGAAATTTGGTTTAATGCAAAATTTACCATCAGTTAGTGAACCTTTTGAAATATTATCTATTGATACTGTAGGTGGTTTAAATTATTATAATTCTACTAAAAAGTATATTCACATAATTATTGATCATGCAACTAGATATATCTGGACTTTTGCTTCCAAAAGTGTAACTACAGATACTTATATAAATTGCTTAAAAACAAATTTTCCAAATTCAGGTCCCTAAAAAGATTTTAAGTGATAGGAACGCTGCTTTTACATCTTCAAAATTTAAGCACTTTTTAAGGAATCATAATGTAAAACAATTGCTAACTACTGCAAATAGACCCCAAACTAATGGTAAAATTGAACGTGTTAATCAAACTATTATAACTAGATTAAAATGCAAACTAAATTCTTATCACGGTAATATAGCATGGACAAAATTATTACCCCAAGTAACTGAAGAGTATAATAATACCCCTCATTCTGTAACAAAATTCCCTCCATCATATTTAATGTATGGAAAATTACCTTATGATTCCTTAATTCAAAATCAAGAAATTGTATCCGTCAATAGAAGAAGCCAGAAAAATAGCTCAAAAGAGATCTGATGATTATCATAATGTAAATAAAGAAAGATATGATATTCATTTTTAAACCTAGTAATTTTTAAAATTGGTGATTTAGTAATGTATGAAGAATTTCAATACCCTAATACACGTAAATTATCTCCTCCATTCTCAGGACCTTATAAAATTTTAAAACAATATTCTGAAGTTACTTATGAAATAGATAAAACCTAATCCTTTAACTAAAAAGAAATCAGAAATTGTTCATTCAACTAGATTAAGACCTTTAATCCAGCAAGTGAGTTTAAGCTAACTGTCCGAAATAGTAGAATTCCCATCTCTGTTTCAAAATTAAAATTAATTTTTTTAAAAAATTCTCTTTTAAACATTTTCCTGATTATGACTTTAATACCTGATTTAGACTTAAACCCTAACTATGACAAATTATTCTCCCGATCTTGACCTTTTATATCTTTCACATAATTTGAATTATTTTGTAGCAAAAATTTTCTTCTTATTGTAGGATAATATTTGTTTCTAATTTACAACATTATAAAAAGACTTTAACTTGATTATACAAGTTATCGTCTTATAATTTTGATTTTATATGATCTTTTATTTTTCTAAAACCACTTTGAGGTACAATGTACAATGCCAAAAACCAGTTACCTTCTATTAGGCAACGGAGGTTTTTTTCGATATTTTGTACCTAGCACCCCCAACCATCAGCAAGCTAATCACGCTGATCTGTTGGCGAGAGGACATGCCAAATAGTTTTGATTAAGTCAAAGTGTTCATGTTCTTAATTGTATAATATGTATTATTTATATTGAATTGTTTTTTGAGGTATATAGTCATAATATTTTGTATTGAAGTGTAAAATCATGTTCAATCTTTACGAATGAGAGGAAAAAATGCCATCATATTTGTGAACTATGGAACATGAAACTCATCACTTGTGGACTATCTGGCATTTAGAGATTTTTACCAGATATTTTCATTCTCTTCGAGCTCTTTTTATGAAAAAAGACTTTCAAAAAAAAAAAAAAAAAAAAAAACAAAAAAGGACATTTTTTAACAAAATTGAGGACTTTTGTAATTATAACTTATTTATTTATCAGTATTCCATACTTATTATGTTATAGTCTTAAAATTAGTCATATATTGTATATTTATTTATAACTCATTGTTTTAATGTTCAAAATTTCATATGCTATAAAGTCAAAATTTTATATGAGAAAGTCATGAACTATGATAGGCCATAGTTAAAGCTTGTACGCTATGTTCTGGATGTTTTCATGTCTTTTCTCATACTTTTGCTTCACCCCTGTACTAATGCTTTTCTCACCCCAGCCTCTCTTTTTGACGGGTAGGGGGGGAAGATGTAAAATAAAAAAAAAAAAAAATACGATGGCTTTGCTCTTTGCGAACCAGCAATCTTTAATTAATTTTCTGCAATTCAGGATCGTCCCCTAACCCAGTACCTGCTAGAATATTCACGCCTATTACATAACCTCCTCATATAAATGCTGCGTCATAAGTTTTCTACATTTTTCTAGAAGCTACTCTGTTACATAACCATTCATATAAATGCTGAGTCATAAGTTTCTCCTAGACAGATGCCTTCTCGCCTTCGTCCTGCTAACGCTTCCGCTATGCTCCTCTTTCTTGTTAGAACGTTATGATGTATTAAAGTTTAAAGTCAGTCGTATCTAATAGTTTCAATTACTGAATAAGTTTATTTGATTAACTTCATCTGGAAAAAGTCATCTGCTATAAATTAAAATAAATATATGCTTGCTGTTAAAAGTGAAAAGTCCTGAGTCGTCATTTTACTCCGTGTTTCAATCACCCCAGCTTCGTTAACCATCTGCCAGAACGTGTAATGGAATAGCCTCACCATTCGCCCACGATGTGTTGGAATAACTGAAAACATTACATATATATATATATATTAAACAAAAAACTTAAATGATAGTAGTAACATAGAAAAATTATATAAACTAATGACTTAATCAGCTAATTAAAATACCCCAAAATTAGTTGACAGTAGATTTTTTTCAAAATTATTCTATTTAAAAGCACAAATGTAATAATATCTGATAAAAGGGATTTTCAGCAATTCCAGTGTTATAAATTAGATTAACTGATTTGCTTGAAAAATAAGCTACCTGAAGCGTAAATCCGAAGTATAATGGAAAAATTACTGCATATTCGTAGTTCTGAAAATTTGATTCTTAATGAAGTGAATTGTATGTTATAACTGAACTTATTAAAACATCCCTAGTAATGCTTACGCGCTCAGAAAACTTTTCAACCAACGTCAACTGAGCTAACTCGTCCTTTCAAAGAATGTTTAAATGCTTACAGGATGACAACGTGACAGTAGCGCTAAATCAGGGCAGATCTTCTCGTTCTTGTGATATTGGAATAAAATCCCTATGCTTGAAAAGTGTGTGTTTATTTAGGGCGAATTCGCAACGCATCTTTCAAGGTAACATAAATTATACAAGGTAACAGTATCTCTGGGACATGTTTTAATGTTTCACAGTCCGCCGATTGTCATACTTCTAGTATAAATCAAAACAAGGAAAAACAGGAATAAATAACTTTTTTATCTACCGTTTCGATCAACTTCCAGTGACCGCAACTTTGCGCCGTCCAAGTTCAGTGATTTCAGAACATTCTGGGAGGCTACCAGATACTCCAATTTGCTAAGTTTAGATACCTCTATGTCTTCTAGGTCATTGTGGGATACATCTAAGTACGTCAGATTCTGAAAAACATAAGCCGTAAAGTTGATGTTACATCAAAGGATAATATATGAATACAAGATTTTACATATGATTTATTCTAAGAAAGTATTTACTCTTTGTAAATATTGCAAAATCATTGCTCACAACAAGATCTTCTATGTAGTACTCGGTTTATAATTAATACATGTAATTTTTTTATACACAGGTAAATTTAAGTATTTTTAACAACTGTTTCCTAATAACAGTTTTTTAATATTACTAATACTTATTTTAACTTCTTAATACTCCCTTTATACTACTTCAAAGTTAATAAAAATGGTTAAAATGAAAAAGTATATCATAAGTTAGACAAAAATATATAAATCAAAATTATAACTTTCATTTGCATTGAACTGAACATTAATTATAAATTTGAATCTCCATTTTAATTTGGTTATTTCCCCTTTCTGTTCTTAAAAGTAACTGCTTATAATAAACGTCTCTAAACTTTATAATTTAAAATTAATCGCTGTCATATGATACATACGTAAAGCTCATGGCACAAGTATCTAAATAACTTTTCAGCCATTTAATAATTTCAAATTTCGGAACCGAAACTTTTAAAAGCTACTCAAGAAATGTAAATCAGAACCAGATCCTTTTGACCCACACTTTCATCTTGGAGCGAAATCTTTGCACTCGCTTTCTGCTTGTCTGTTTGTTACATCGCTATCGTTACTTTTATTGGCGCAACACCTTATGTTTATGTTTACTTTGTCGAAACTTATACTATATAATAATATACAGTTGGAAATGCTGTAGATTCTTTTGCTACCTTAGAGTGGCACTTCTCTTCGATCGACTACAGAAACTGACCTGTTCACAGCCTTTTTCTTTACCACAGAAACTGACCTTTCTCATAGCCCGCAACAAGTACTGATCTTACCTCTCTAGATTTTTTCCTCTAGTTCTTTGTAAAAAATATAAAAGGATTAACTGTAAGTCTTCGTTCACTAAAAGTCTTGTTGCAAAAGGAGAATCTAACAAGATGGTTGTCACTTCCCTTTAAGAATCTTGAGTGAGCTGAGCCGAATTGTCGATTTTCAGAACTTTGAATTAGCAGAAGCTGAATTTATGGCCCCCAAGAAGTTTTGATCTCACCTTTCTAAACTTCCAGGCTTTTATCAAAAAATATAAAGGAGGATTACAGTGAAAAGGTTGATAATTTTGACCATTTCAAGAACAGAATTAATTACATTAAGAATTAAAAATGCTACACTAGAGTCCTTGCCAGTGTATAGACCGAAACTGAGCATCGCGATGACAATCAGGCTGTTAATAGCGCGCATAATGAAATCTATTAAATTTAGACGAAATATTTGTGTGTGACTGAATTAAATAAAATCGCTATCAATTCATTTCACGTAATTTAAACATCACCCTGAAATTATATGAAATACTTCCATTCATTCTCTTAGATCGTGCATAAATATGATTACATTCAATTCATTTAAACTAATTTTTGGCATTTTTTACCTAAAATTTGTCTTTGCTAGGAAGCGCCTTTGATAAGTTATGGGGTAGTAGCCCCACAATTTTATTTTCTGTCACATATGACAGTTAAAAATTATTTTTTTTATTTATAATATATTAACTAAAGCCTCTAAGGTATTTTCCTCTCTTTTCTGCATGCCTTCGTGTGGTGTAACGGTAGCGCACTCGGAGCGTATTCGAGATGTCTAGGTTCAAGTCCCGGTGAGAGCATTGCACACTTTTCAGCTTCTTGACATCGATAATCCTTAATAAATTTATTACACCAGAGTATTTTCATTATTGATTAAAGTGTGAGTTGCATAAATAAATCAAGCATACGCAATAAACTGATTTGCTAGGTTTGGCTAATTTATTTACTGAATAAATTATTTATTATAGGATACTTGGAAAAATAGGGTCAAATTATTTATTAGAAAATGATACTATCCACCTCCCAAAAAATATTAGACCCTCAGATTCCTTTTACATAGATCCAAAAATTTCTGGCTCGATATATTTTCAAAAGAAATAAAAATTTTCAATCGTCTATTTTTTCATATGATCTCCTTGTAGCCAGACACACTTTTCACATCGTTTTATGAGAAATTCTCCTATGCCCCTGGAAAAGTTTGGTCCCAAAATGTCCAAGTGTCCTCAAAATGCTCTATAACTGCTCTTCTCATACCATCATCATCATTAACGAAGGTCAGATTTCAATTAGCTGAATAGGTAATAATGTCTTTGAGCTAAATCTTGGCTACAAGGGAGATAAGTCAAGCTCCTTTAAACTCTCAATCCTGTTTCTAAAATTTCATTTACACATCCCAGTAATAGTACGAAGCCCATTCATTACACAACCCAATAAGCAATTAAATCATTTTATAAAGAATACAAATTAAAATATATCTATGCTTGACAAAAACTTACTAAAATCTACAATCAGCACTCTCTTATCTCTTATCTTATCTTATTATTGGTTAAAGATATCAAGGTACTCATCTTGCAGAGATTTTGTTCATGTGAAGATGTTCACATAGAAGGCGCAAAATAGTTGTTTTACATAGGTCCAGTTACGCTTCACTCTCCTCAATCTCCTATCGCCCAAAATTCTCTTCCGGACATGAGCAGTTTATTCTGATCTCAATTTCTATAATAATCGATCTTCAACAGAATCATTTTCTACGGATCTGTTATTTTACTATAGAATATCAAGGAGCCTAATCACCATAAGCATGATTATTTTATTTCTTTGTAAGACATTTTAAATCAAAAATTTAATCACAGAACAATACTCAGTTTAAAACATCTTAGAACAAATCAGGACATCACATCAGTCGATAAACAGCCAAAAAAAGAAAACGTGATTTCTCAAACGAAACTTTCAAATTCCTTAATTTAGTATTTCTTCTACATGTCTGCAAGAGGAATTTGTTGGCAAACAACGTTTTATGTGTAAGGCCAAACACTTCTGTATCTACTTACATAAAAGTAATGACGGTTTTCCCAAAAGAACTTTTTGAAAAGTTTCATTACATTGGTTAAAAAATTAAATATGTATTAAAACAAAAGAAGTACAAATTTTAAAAATATATAAGATAATTTATTTTTTGTGCCTAAATTTTAAAGCTGAAAGTGTAGAGACATTAGGTTATTTTGAAGCAGGAGACGTGAAAAATGTGAAATGCCCTCGCCGGAACTCGAACCACGGACCTCATGAATACGCATCGAGAATGCTGACCATTAGAACACGAAGGCATGCTAAGAAGGCCGAAGAAATACCTCATATACTCCCCGTTTTAAAGGGCGACTGGGGATAAGGGGACACAATTCGTCAAATCCTGGCGGTGAAGAATCATCATCCACCACCTTTCTTTTAGTTTGGGCGCCTCTGTAGAGACATTAAGGGTTGTTCCCACTAAGGTTTATCTGAGCTAACGGAGTTAGTTCCCTGTGTCGACTAGCTTCGCTATGTCTGCAGTTTAGATTTTTCAGCTTGCTGCCCTATGGGGAAAAATTGGTTTTGGAGATGGGTCGGCTACGTTACTTGTCCCCGTTAGCTCAAATAAACCCAGTGGGAACAACCCTTTAGAATTTTTTTAAAGCAAGAATACATGAAAAATGAGCGATGCCCTATCCGGGACTCGAGCCACGGACCTCTCGAATACGCGCCGAGCGTGCTGACCATTACACCACGGAAGCATGCTAAGAAGGCGAGAGAAATACCTTATAAAAGCAAATGCATTTATTTTGGATTATTTCAAAATACTCTACTTAAGTCAGTTAATTTTTTCCTTATAATACATTTACAATATATCAAACGTACGTATTAAAAAAATGTATCTTAAATAGCCCCCTTCCCCCGCAAAAAATACAATTTCATAATTACAGGGAATACTTTATTTGCCAAGCTATTTTAATTCTCGCAATCTTCTAGTTTGAAACCGGAAAATGTTGGAAAAGACATTTTCCGGTTTTTTTAGAAAGAATAATTTTTACACTTTTCAAGGTTTTGATTAATTGAAATGAGATAATAGAAAACGGACTTTTGCAACCAAGTGAGCTTTCATTTTGTTATATTGTAAGGTATTTCTCCCGCCTTCTTGGCATGCCTTCGTGGTGTGGTGGTCTAGAAGCTGGGCGCTAATTCCAGAGGTACGTGGTTCGATTCCCGGCGAAATCGTTGCTAATTTTTCATCTTGCCTGCTTCCATGAAAAATCTAATGTCTTGACACAATATGATGTTAACTTAATCAATTATATACACTCTTCCTCACATTTTCCATGCTTCATATTTGACTTGCGAGCATGAATTTCCTCCCATACCATATTAATAAAAGTGCTCCTTTATTTGATACTGATATAACATATATCCGTATATTTTCTATCCTTATATAGTCGTAACTATTCTAAAATATCGGTTTGAGTCATTTATATAATAACTTTCTGCTTCTGTTTGTTTTATAATGTTCACATTCATCAGCTTTTATTGACGTTACTCTTTGATACAATTCCTATTTATTTAGTCACGTGAATGTTTATTAGGTGACTCATGAGTGCCCTCAAAAAACATTTCGGGGGGAGGCAAAGATTGGGAACTGATAAATATCAATAAAATTCCATTTTTTGAGGTTCGTGAATAAATCATAAAATACAGTATTGCATCAACGCATAAACGCATATCTAAATTTTACATATATGAGTTAGTACGAAAATGCATTTTACAATCGATTTCAGGGGATAGAAGTGCGCCATTTTCCGCTTCCTTCGTGCAGACATTCGTAGCGTGACTGATGGTAGACACGTTGCCATCAGTAGACACGAGTTATCGTTAATGAAATTTTAAAGGCAAAAACTCAAACAGTTTTGACATGCATGACATCATGTAAATATGACGATAATTCCATAACGAGAGACTAAATTTATACAGTGCCTTCATACTAAATTTAATTTTTTATCACGTCGTAAATAGGTAGCTTTTGAATAATTTCAAGATTAATTAGTTCTTTAT